CAGAGGCCTGGGTCAATGCTTGAGGGACAGGTGTTCAATTCCCACCACAGCAGCTGGTGGAAATGAAATCAATAAATCTGTAATATGAAGCTAGCCTCAATATTGGTGACTATTATATCATCAATTACTGCAAAAAAAAAAAAACAGTTGATTTGCTAATATCCTTTAGGGATTGAAATCCACTTCCCATACCTGTTCTGGCCTACACGTGACTCCAGACTCCCAATGTGGTTGACTCTTAACCACCCTCTGAAACTACTCTAGCAAGCTACTCAGTTCAAGGGTGATTAGACATGAACAACAAATAATAGCCCAGCCACGAACATCCACAGCCAATGAATAACAAAAGACGCATTCAAGAAAGCATTAGATTATTATTTGGATAGAAATAGTGTACACGATATGGGTGGGTGGGAGTCTGGAGAATGGCATGAGGTAATGATGCTCATTTGAACAGCTGGTGTGGGCAAGATGGGTTGAATAGCCCCCTTCTGAGCCAGAACAATTGTGGGAAAAAAAATTAAATTCTAGAGAACATCTTTGAGCAAACGTGGGAACTGGGAAGTTTCAGATCATACTTTAAATTGATAGAAGTTTTAGGGACTATTAGACTGAGTTCTGGATAATACAGCACTGACCTGAAACTGGATTAAGCAATAAGACCAGCTAATATTATTCAGAATTGGAAACTTCTATCCTAATCTCCATGGCTCAGTTGCATGGAGATCTTTTTTGCATTCAAAAAGGTTACAAATATCATAGGTTGATAAATGAACATTGTGGGGTAGAAAATTGATAATCATAAAAAATTCAGTGAAAAATTCCTCAGTGATAAAGTTCTCACCTGCTGAGAATATCCCCGAAACATTGGATTCACTGTTTTAATTCCCTGGAACAGGTTTGTAGGCACAACGTAGCTGGGGCTGGAGAAACACAGTCAGATGAATGATAAAGAATAATGTTGCTTGATTTACACCATATTTACATACATATGCCCCAATATCGATGGCTGCTGAGCTCACATGAATGCAGTTATCCTATTATATACAACAGCCGGAGGGGTAACTCTATGACAGGAATAACGTGGTTTCACATCAGCGCCGATAGCTCCTCGAATGGCCTATTTGCTGAAGGACTCTTTACTGAAAGACGAGAAGCTTCAGTGCATCAGGCTCATCCTGGTGATCAGAAGTAAACCAGATGAGAAGTTTCCATCATTCAGAAGTAAGCCATGAGCAGGATATACTTGGATAGACCCAGGGAGAAGGGAGACACACAACTCTCAGCTTTTCCACAAATGAAGGTACTAAAATACATTTGCTGGAATTGTTGGGCCTGTACTGTTGTTAAATTAAATGTAAATTTCAACAAACTTGCACTAGTTTTTCACTTCAACCAAACAAAAACGTAAGAATGATTATAGAAACCAGCTGATTCTGTGCCAATTGCTGTCTTGGAACCCTTTCCATTACTGAGATGGAAGCCAGAATAAGCACCATTCCCAAACAAATGGAGTGTTTAAAAAACAGTAATAGGCAATAACAACTTTGAAACTTAATTTAATACAAATACAACCATTGCTGATATTGGCAATTACAAGCAGCTGCATATTTTAAGTGATAGAAATTAAATTTACAGGTGCAGCCAAAAACGTACTTGTGCTTGTGCAGTTCTTCCAACATTTACTGGTCTGCTCAAACCAGATAGCTTGTCCCACATTACAGCTCATTCCCACTACCTGGTTCCATCATTGAAGGTAATTTTCGAACCCTTTCAAAACTATTTCTGCTTTATTACTTCTCTTGATTTCTTCAAGTCACTTAAAAAAGAAAAACTCTCTCTCTGACCATGCCTTTTCCAGTCTGCCCAATATCTTCCTCTTCCCATTAGCAGGTGCTCCATTAACTGTGGAAGGTATTATAAAATGCAGTATTGTTGTGTGGCTTACCGATTCTTGTGCCATATTTCTGCCATCAACTTCTGGTAACTTTTTGATAGAGCTGGCTTTTTAACTGTTTGCACCATGCCTCCACATTCAAGGAAAAATAAAGTCAAGGGTGGGCTGGGGAAGAAAGAGATAACATTCTTCACATATGATCTTCACCAGGAAAGTCCCAGTTTGTTTCTACTCAGCAATGCCTCCCAATCCCATGATCTCCACCACAGAGAAAGAGAACCTTAGCTATAACAAAGGAACAGCATCTCCAATTTCTCCACTAAGTCACACATCATCTAGTCCTTGACATATCCCTTTCCTGTCACTGGGTTAACATTGTTGTCTCTCCATACTAATGCTATTGTAGGAGCACCACCTTACAAGGACTCCGGCAGTGTAAGGAGAACAAGGAGAACAGAGCAACAAGGAATGGCCGACCAATGCTGCCAAACCACTAGTCACCCGTAGCCAAAGCACAAATAAAAATTCATCTGGAAAATCGATTGACATGTCATGAATTGGGTACAAGACAAAGCTCAGATATAATGGTACACCATTGACCATTTACAAATGCTCAATACGATAATGGCTGATCTCATTGTGGTCTCAATTCCACTTTCCTGTCTCAATTCCACTTTCCTATCTGCTCATTGTAACGCTTGACTCGCACATTTGACAATAATCTTATCTAAAGATGTCTTTAATTAATTCAATGACCCCAGCTTCCTCTTCTTTTTTGAGAAAGAGAATTCACATTCCAAAGAACTTTAGGAAAAAATAAATTCTCATCACTCCTTTTAAAAGGGGGTGCTAGTACTCCCTAAGAGGAAACAGCCTCCTGGTGTCTATTAAGTCTTATGTTTTATGGTCATTATTTCAGTCTCCTAAACCCCAATGGGAGTAAAACCCAAACCATTAAACATTTTCTAAGGTTTACCTTCCATTCCAGGAATGAATTAAGTGAACCTTCTTTGAACAGCTTCTAATATAATTATACAATTTTTAAGTAAGGAGACTAAAGCTATATACAGCACTTTGATGCCATCTCACCGATGCCCAGTACAGCTGCGGCAAAACTTACTTTTATATTCCATTCTCGAGAACCAGAGAACATAGTTTCGTATTACTTATTTTGTAAAAGACTTCAAGGTGAGGAAAAACTGTCACACAGCAACTGGTCTAGGCCTGAAAAACACTGAAGGTCTGGTGGGGGCAAGTTCAATTGAGGCATTGAAGAGGGCTTGAGATGATTACTTAATTAGAAACAATATGCGGGGCTATGGGAAAAAGGGAGATGTTTGGCATGAAGTCAATGTGCCAGAAAGACAATGGGCTGCATGACATTCTTCTACACAGTAACAAGTCTGTGATTCCTATTCGCTGTAGGAGACCATTTCTCTCATTCTGCAGGGTTTTGCAATCTCTCTCATTTAAATAATATACTGCTTTCCTATTCTTTCACCCAAACTGAACAAATCACATTTTCCCACATTATACTCTTCTGCCAATTTTGTCCACTCACAACATGTCCATATGCAGACTCTCTACCACCTCTTGACAGCCAATGATCCTATCAATTTTGGTAACATGAGCACATTTAGGTACCATTCAGTATCTTCATCAAAGTCATTGATATAGATTAAAAATACTCAAAGGCCTGGTATTGAACCCTGTGCCCTCTGCTAGTTAGCTTGCCAATATGAGAAAGACCCATTAATGACTCATCTCTGCAACCCATTAGCTAACCAATCCTTTGTCCATGCTACTGTCTCCTACACAAATGTCTCAGAGAAGAAATTCCTCATCTCAGTCTTAAACTGGTGCCCCTTAATTATGAGACTATGCTCTCTGGTCCTAGACTCTCTCATTAGAGGAAATATCCTCACAGCAATTACCCTGTCAAGCTCCTTAAGAATTCCGCATGGTTCAATAAGGTCACCTCTCATTCTTCTAAATTCCAATGAGTGGAGGCCCAACTGGTTAACCTTAGATCATACGACAATCACTTCACATCAGGGATCATCCTAGTGAACCTTCTCTGAGCTACTTCCAACGAAATAATACATTTTCGTAAATAAAGGGACCACAGCTGTTTACAGAATTCCAGATGTGGTCTCACACCATGAACAGCTGCAGCAAGACCTCCCCAATTCTTATACTCCACCCCTTGAAATAAGGGCCAACATTCACCCACTGCACCTGTCTGTTAGCTTTCTCTTTTGAGCACAAGTACCCCCAAAGTTCCTTCGCTGCAGTTTTTCTCCACTTAAATAATACTATTTTTGTTCTCCTTTCCAAATAAGCAACATAACATTTTCACACATTATACTCTATTTTCCAACTTTTCGCCAATTTACTTAACTTTTCAATATCTCTGTAAACTGTTTGTATCCCTCTTGCAACCTGCCTTTCCACCTATTTTTTGTTTTGTGAAAATTTGGCTAAAGTCCATTCACTTCTTTCCTTCTCTTTATCCACAAAATCACAAATTTGCCTATCCACACCAGAAAACACCAAAAATCAACATCCGCAGGCAAAAATTGCGTATCCACGATTTTTAAACAAGCTCTGCACTCACGAATTTCATCATTTGCAGGGATTCTCAAGGATGGATACGTAGGAATGACTGTTTATTGCTTTAATCTTTGTAATCACCTTTAATGTGGTACCTTATGAAGTGTCTAAATTTATCAAATGCAGTTATATTTCCCCCCACAAAAGGAACCTCATAGGTTTTAAAGGGACACGAGAATTTAATCTTCCATTTCCCAGGGGTGAAATTCTTGTGCAGTTGTTCTTTTGGAGATGACCAGGGACAACAGGTTTGATCGACTGTAAAAATGACAAGCTGAGCCTGGCCATCTCCTATCAGATGTCTGCACACTTTCTCAGCCTTATTGATCGGGGGTTGTGATCTCATTTGACTTTCCTTTACATAGGTCAATAGCATTGCTTGTATCGCCTCTAACTGACACAAAAACTTTGGAGAGGACAGCCTGGGTTTGAAGCTATGAACAGCCAGTTCTTAACAACTCAGCTTGTCATTGACATTTAGCAATGCAGGGAGCAAGTTAGGGTCTTCAAAATGTATGAAAAGAAGATACAGTACTTTGAGTACAGCAAAGAAACTTTGAGCTAGATTCTCATAATCAGTTTGCATTCTATAGTATTTGTAAGGGTTCTCAGAAAGCTTGTCGGAAGTTCATCTTACCAGTTAGAAAGAGCTTGAAGAGCTGCATTCATATAACAAGTATTTCCTATGTTTTTCAATCCAGTGAGACCTGGAAGGACAACATACACAGGTTCAAAAAAACCCAAACTTTTTATAAGGAAATTGTGTGTTCAGAATGTTACTTATAAAGCAGCACACTTTCACCGTCATAGCTCATTTCTTTTAAAAAGGCTGTCCCAACTCAAGGGCTTTTACAGAGGAAATAGAACAATAGGGGAATAAAAGGCAGTAGAGGTCCAAAGAGGGAATTTAAAGCAGCAACTTTGAATGATCAAACCTCTTGTCTTCATGTCATCATATTCTGCATCTAGGTCACGTCCCACTAGCGTAATAGGAGCTTTCAGCATCTGATTACAGGGAGATGGGTCCTACAATAAAACACACACAAGGGCATATAAATAAAGACAAGAACAATTTGGTGTATAAGAGAGCCAATGACCAGTAGATTATAATCGTGAAGAGCACAAAATTACAGCAAATAATTGTATGCTGCAAAGCAATTGCTACATCACATTCCCAGAGTGACTAAAGATGTGGCCTCAATGTCCCAGTTACTAAGAACAAATGTAACTGCAATAATATCCAACTTACAGTCAGTAGATCTTAATCTTGCTGCATTCTATTGGAGAAACTACTTTAGTTAGTACAAGAGTAGTAGCCATTCAATTTCAATAAAAGTGGTTTTAAGATCCACAAATCTCTGAGTCTGACTGACAAGCTTGCATGCATGCAACACATTTAATCTCCTCTGACCCATTCCCAACAAGTGCCCAGGAAGTGACTTAGATTCATAATTTCAGTATGACAAATGGTTCAAAACACAAATTGTACTTGCAGCAAATAGCCCTTTTGTAGTAGCTGAAAAGAATATTATCCGGCGTTCATGCACTTGTAGTAAAATCGGCAATATCTGGCTCTTTCACATCTGTGGTATTATTTGAATGGAGCCTTACCTGGTGTTCATGCACCTGTGGTGGTCTCCCACGTTGCACTATTGGTGGAGGTCCAAGTTTCCGCTCCAGAAACACCTCCTTTCCACATGCATAACACCAGACTCTCAAGGTGGTAAGGTTAACAGTGAGATTGTGGTTAGTTTCCTGAAAATAACAAATGTAATTCACAAGAAAAATCAGATTCTATATGAACAGGCCAAGACTAAACACTTGCACTTCATATTCTTTTGCAATTAATTTGTGATTGGTGAGAGGACAAGTTTTGCCAAATAAAAGTGTGCACATGAACTCTCTGCACAGTAAATCTCTACATATAAAAACAGGAGGTCTTCCCTAGTTAGTGTCAGAATTCACCATCAACTATTTCTGGGCTTCTGCTAAACTTCATTTCCTTTTGCAGCAGGAACACTGATCTCCCACAAGGTGGCACATGCTTTCTAGACAACAAGGTGCAGTGCTGGATGAACACAGCAGGCCAAGCAGCATCATAGGAGCAGAAAGGCTGACGTTTCGGGCCTAGACCCTTCATCAGAAATGGGGGAGGGAAAGGGGGTTCTGAAATAAATAGGGAGAGAGGGGGAGGCGGATAGAAGATGGATAGAGGAGAGGATAGGTGGAGAGGAAACAAACAGGTCGAAGAGGCGGGGATAGGGCCGGTAAAGGTGAGTGTAGGTGGGGGGTTAGGGAGGGGATAGGTCAGTCCAGGGAGGATGGACAGGTCAAGGGGGCGGGATGAGGTTAGTAGGTAGGAGATGGGGGTGCGGCTTGAGGTGGGAGGAGGGGATAGGTGGGAGGAAGAACAGGTTAGGGAAGTGGGGACGAGCTGGACTGGTTTTGGGATGCGGTAGGGGGAGGGGAGATTTTGAAACTTGTGAAATCCACATGGGAACCCTGCAGCCCAATGGTATCAAAGCGGAATATGAGTTGCTGTTCCTGCAACCTTCGGGTGGCATCGTTGTGGCACTGCAGGAGGCCCAGGATGGACATGTCGTCTGAGGAATGGGAGGGGGAGTTGAAATGGTTCGCGACTGGGAGGTGCAGTTGTTTATTGTGAACCGAGCGAAGGTGTTCTGCAGAGCGGTCCCCGAGCCTCCGCTTGGTTTCCCCGATGTAGAGGAGGCCACAACGGGTACAGCGGATGCAGTATACCACATTGGCAGATGTGCAAGTGAACATCTGCTTGATATGGAAAGTCTTCTTGGGGCCTGGGATGGGGTGAGGGAGGAGGTATGGGGGCAGGTGTAGCACTTCCTGCAGTTGCAGGGAAAAGTGCCAGGTGTGGTGGGGCTGGAGGGGAGTGTGGAGTGGACATGCTTTCTAGAAACTGGTTTGTATCTTATTTTATTTGCCCCAAACAGGCTCACCGGATACATTCACTTATGCATAGTGCATTTCTCCATATGTCACAGAAAGAGAAGGCTTGCACTGATATCACTCAGTTACGGACAGCTTAACTTGCACAGGAGCATCAGCTGTATACATAAAATGCCCTCGACTTCATCTTTCGCGTTTCCCACACCTCAGCCCTCACACCCCCTCCCCGATAACAACAAAGACAGAATTCCCCTTGTCCTCATGTATCACCCCATCAACCTCCGGATTCAACGCATCATTCTCGGCCACTTCCGCCACCTGCAAGGATATATTTCCCTCCCCACCCTTATCTGCCTTTCGGAGGGACCGCTCTCTTCGTGACTCCCTCATCCGCTCCACACTCCCCATTAGCCCCACCACCCCTGGCACTTTTCCCTGCAACCGCAGGAAGTGCTACACCTGCCCCTACACCTTCCCCCTCACTTCCATCCCAGGCGCCAAGAAAACCTTCCACATTAAACAGATGTTCACCTGCACATCTGCTAATGTGATATATTGTATCCGCTGTTCCCGATGTGGCCTCCTCTATACTGGGGAAACCAAGTGAAGGCTTGCAGACCACTTTGTGGAACACCTACACTTGGCTCGTGACAAATGACAACACCTCCCAGTCACGAACCACTTCAACTCCCCCTCCCACTCCCACTCCTTGGACGACATGTCCATCCTGGGCCTCCTCCAGTGCCACAACGATGCCACCCGAAGGCTGGAGGAACAGCACCTCATATTCCGCTTGGGAACCCTGCAGCCTAATGGTCTCAATGTGGACTTCACAAGCCTCAAAATCTCCCACTCCCGACCTCATCCCAAGACCAGCCCATCTCATCCCCATCTCCTTGACCTATCCGTCTTTTCTCCCACCTACCCGCCCCTCCCTCCTTACTGACCAACCCCCATCCCAACTCCCTACCTACACTCACCTTTACTGGCTTCATCCCCATCTCCTTGACCTGTCCATCTTCTCTCCACCTTCTATCATTGCCTCTCCCTCTCTGTATTTATTCCAGCGCCCCCTTCCCCTCCCCCATTTCTGAAGAAGGGTCCAGATCCGAAACATCAGCTTTCCTGCTCCTCTGCCTGGCCTGCTGTGTTCGTCCAGCTTTACACCTTGTTATCTCAGACTGCAGCATTGGCAGTTCCTACTATCTCTAGCTATATACATCTTCTAGTTTGAAAAACCACATGTCACTAACATGCACAAAGCTGGACAAATATGGTCACAGGGTAGAGTAGGAAATGGGAGGGGAAGAAGGGGAAATCTATAGAGGGGCTACACTGGGAAAAGATTTGGTTGGACAGTTCCTACTTCTTCACAGCGTGCCTGGTTTAAACAGCAAAAACATACTGCTGTTAAGCTGCAACGTTACAGACATTAGGTTTCTTTCTCAAAGACAGAAAAAATTAAAATGGTGAGCAACACTACAGTGATGGAAATAGTGAAGGTAGAAGAATCTTTCTTAAGGTTAACTGCAGCCAACATGAAAAAGTAATCAACTAAGTCCTCACATCTGTAGACTATCCACTGATTGCTACTGGAAAATTAGATAACGCCTGCCTCTTTGTAGGTTATGTGGAACAATCCCTCTTCCGTACCTACACCGGCCCTAAACTCCACCTCTTCCTCCGTTACATTGATGACTGTATCAGCGCCGCCTCGTGCTCCCACGAGGAGCTCGAACAGTTCATCCACTTCACTAACACCTTCCACCCCAACCTTAAGTTTACCTGGACCATCTCTAACACCTCTCTCCCCTTCCTGGACCTCTCTGTCTCCATCTCGGGCAACCACCTAGAAACCGATATTCATTTCAAGCCCACCGACTCCCACAGCTACCTAGAATACTCCTCCTCCCACCCACCTTCCTGCAAAAATGCTATCCCCTATTCCCAATTCCTTCGCCTCCGCCGCATCTGCTCCCAGGATGAGGCATTCCACTCCCGTACATCTCAGATGTCCTCGTTTTTCAAGGACCATAACTTCCCCCCCTCGGTGGTCGAGAACGCCCTCAACCGTGTCTCCCACATCTCCCGCACCTCATCCCTCACACCCCGTCCACGCAATAAGAGCCAAAAAAGAATCCCCCTTGTCCTCACGTACCACCCCACCAACCTCCGGATCCAACGCATCATCCTCCGACACTTCCGCCATCTGCAATCCGACCCCATCACCAAAGACATCTTTCCCTCCCCACCCTTATCTGCTTTCCGGAGGGACCACTCTCTCCGTGACTCCCTTGTCCGCTCCACACTCCCGTCCAGCTCCACCACACCCGGCACTTTTCCCTGCAACCGCAGGAAGTGCTACACCTGCCCCCATACCTCCTCCCTCACCCCCATCCCAGGCCCCAAGAAGACTTTCCACATCAAGCAGATGTTCACCTGCACATCTGCCAATGTGGTATACTGCATCCGCTGTACCCGGTGTGGCTTCCTCTACATCGGGGAAACCAAGCGGAGACTCGGGGACCGCTTTGCAGAACACTTACGCTCGGTTCGCAACAAACAACTGCACCTCCCGGTCGCGAACCATTTCAACTCCCCCTCCCATTCCTCAGACGACATGTCCATCCTGGGCCTCCTGCAGTGCCACAACGATGCCACCCGAAGGTTGCAGGAACAGCAACTCATATTCCGCTTGGGAACCCTGCAGCCCAATGGTATCAATGTGGATTTCACAAGTTTCAAAATCTCCCCTCCCCCCACCGCATCCCAAAACCAGTCCAGCTCGTCCCTGCCTCCCTAACCTGT